AAATCAATATACTGAAAATGAAAATATTCTCAATAAACCGATTAAAGCAACATGCATTTGGAATGCTCCCTAACTTTGACTTCCAATCATATACTAAACAAAAATATTTGACACAGAGTCTCTAATTAAGACAGGCCGTGCAAGACATGATAAGCAAAAGCATGGCATAGAGTCTCTAACAATCAATTTGATTTCAATTTTTACATGCCCAATTCCCATTCAAAAGCTTAACTTAGACTCAGCTGGATGTTTTATTTTCTGGGTATGGTTTTACTTTTACATTAAACATGAATAAATTAAATGAAGAAATATAGAGAGCAATAATCATATACCCTTCAATTGTACTGCAACAGACTTATTGAAAGTTAAAGCCCTGAATAGAAAGTCCTACTAACAAAAATGAATAATTGCAATTAAAACTATGTCTGGTAATTAATTTATGGGCTCAAAGGATTTTACAGACAGAATTTAGTGAAAATTGAGAAGCTCCCTTAAGCTACATAATTGGTTTTAGGGAAACTACTCTCTTCTAATTTTAGTGCTTTTGAATGTGTAATCTATTGTGCACCATAGAGAAACAACAAAAATATTTATATGATCCTTTTGGGATGAAGTCTCTCGTCCTGTAATTAATCAGGAAGTGCATTTGAAGTTATACAAAACATTTAAAATACACAAAATCTAGTGTACCGAAATAATATGCTGCATTCACTAATTGTTTGAACTTAATTGAAAACTATCTTGACCATCAGAGAATTGAACATAAAGGAAATGGCATCCAAGGCTTTTAGAGGCAATTGCCAACAAATTTAGCTCATTACCACTGAAATACTCTATTACTTACAATCTCACTTCAAATGGTGAAGGATATGGTTGAGTTGTATCCTGACATGATTGGAACACAAAAGAGATGTTATTACTTATTATCACACCATTACTTAATTTAACTTGAGCATAAAGTTAAACACTAAAAGAGATGTTGTTAACTTGTTCCTATCTCAGCACTTCACCTTTCGGTGAAGCAAGCAAGCAATGCATCTCAAACAAACCAAATTAAAAATTTTTCAGTTTCTCATAATATTCCTTTTCCACTTTTCTATCACTAACCATGCTTCCTTCCACAATAAACAAAGCCAGGAAAATTCTCCAGTAGATTAGATTTAGGGGTCAAACTACAATACCCAGATACTTTTTTCGGTGATAAAGATTAAATTATAAAAACAAAGTTTTATTGTAGTCAAATTTGTAGATTCAATATTTATTGTAGCCTCAGGGATATATGACGTGAACAAAATTCAGCAACTCTAAATTCTAAAGAAATTAACTTACGATCGATTTGGGGCTTCAATCGTCAGAGAGACTGAGATCTGATAGAGTTGAGCGAGAGACACTGGCCACTGTGTGTGTTCGAGCGAGAGAGACCGAGAGAGTTGAGCGAGAGAGAGTGACTGAGTGAGAGAGACAGAGAGTGTGTGAGGTCTGTTACTCTGTGCGACTGTGCGTGACTGCGTGTTCCAGCGAGGCAACGAGAGCCGAGAGAGACTGAGAGTGAGAGAGACAGAGAGTGTGTGAGGTCTGTGCTATGCGTGTTGCCGTGTTCCAGCGAGAGAGACTGAGAGTGAGAGAGAGTGAGAGACAGGCTTCCAGCGAGAGCCGAGAGAGACTGAGACGAGTGAGAGAGACAGAGTTGAGTAATTGATTTGAGTTAACTGTGTTAGACTTAGGGTTATTGTTAGTTGTTACACTCAAAACGACGTAGTTTTGTAAAATCCGGATCGGATTCGGATATCCGAATTTTTAACATTCTCGATCCGGTATCCAATCCGAATATTCGGATTTTTTAAAATAACGATCCGTATCCGATCCGAATTTTTGGATATCCATTTTTTTCGGATCGGAGCGGATCTGATATCGGATTTTTTTGCACAGCCCTAAATGAAGGTATATAAAGAACGTTATTCAAGATAACAGATGGACTAAGAAAAACATTTCCATAAGATTTTGCTGGAATTAGTGACCCATTTGGAATGGTAATTGGTGATAAATTGGGTACAGCTTTGGGAGAAGTAATGACACTCGCATGACATGTCATATGATCAGAAGCACCTGAATCCAAAGTCCATTCAATTGTACAGTTGGACAGAGGAGCAGCCTTACCCGCAAAATTGGCCATAGAATTGTGAGTCTTTTCAAGATTAAGCATAGAGATGAGTTGAGCATATTGTTCTGCAGTCAGCCCATTAATTGGTACAGTGTTACCTTCAACAGGTTCCATACGCTGTGAGCTATTTGCTGCTTTGGGACTGGATGATTTCTTTCCTTTGTCCCACCATTCAGGATATCCATTCAGCTCAAAATAAGTCTCTTTGGTGTGTCTTGTCTTTTTGCAATGTTCACAAAATAATTTGGATACGTCACGATTGTTTGTAGACTTGCGATTGTTGTAGATTTTGTTCCCGTTGCTAGAAAAAAATGCTGCTGCCTCAACAGAAGGTAATCGTGATGCTGTCACCAACTGTTGTCGCTCCTCTTGTGCTACAAGTCCATAAAAATAAGACAAAGAGGGTAGTGGTTTAGTGTTCAAAATTTGAGAATGTACCGTATTGTATTTTTCATTCAGGCCCATTAGAAACTGATGCACTTTTTCTTTCTTCCTTTCTGCAGTAAAAGCCTGTGCAGACCCACAAGTACACGTTGGAATTTGCGAGTATGTGTTCAACTCATCCCAAATTCCCTTTAATTTTGTGTAATATGCTAAAACAGACATGCCTTGTTGCAAGGTATTCACCATCTCAGTCTTCAACTGATGAATGCGAGGAGCGTTGCTTGAAAGAATCTTTCTTCAAGGTCATTCCACATCTCTTGTGCCGTAATAAAGTATGTGACACTACCATGTAGGGTAGGATGAAGAGAATTAAAAATCCAAGAAATTACCATAGAGTTGCATTTAATCCATGCAGGTTCTTCTGTGGAACCAGGTGATGGGCGTTTGACAGATCCATCTACAAAGCCAAATTTATTTTTGGCTTGGAGTGCATTTGTCATGGCACGACACCATGTGGGGTAATTATCTTCTTTGAGGAGGCATGTTACTAAAGTTGTGCCTGGATTGTTAGAGGCATGAAGAGCATAGGGTGATGAGACATCAAAATTGGTTTGAGTCATGTTTGATTGGCTAGTTTTTGATGTACTAGAATTCAAAGGGCTTTCTTCAGTCATGATGAGAAGGTGAAGAAATATTCTAGGATTTCAACCGCTCTAATACCATGACAAAAGTAGGAGAGGTCTACTGCAATTTTCTCTCTTGCAATTATCATTGATACAGAATATGTTTATATACAAAGGAGGTCCTTAAATCAAGGATACAATAAAAGGAATATAAATATTTAACAGAATAAATTAAGGCTAGGTGAAAGATACAAATATTTGACCAGCTAAAATAGGAAGACAAATATACAGCTGGAGATCTTCGTCCAATAATAATCAAACTGGGTTTTGAATGCAAATAAAAGCTATATTAAGCAAAATATGTACGTCAAGTAAAGAAATTGATTCCAAAAGTATTGAAGGCTGAGCCGTCAAGGGAAAACCGCCCCAATACTTATGCTTCAAATGACAGTGATGGCTGGTTGTATCTTCCTAGTTCCTGAACTATCAGGATCACATTTAGATACTTAAAGTTAATGTCCCAAAGTCTTATTGCAGAGTATCAAATCAGGGCATTTAAAATTCATGAGGGATTAACCTTCCTACAGGAGCACAGACGAATCAGATATCAAAAACTCACCTCAAGGTTCAGGGGTTTCCATAGAAGGTCAGTTCCTGCAGTAACAGCCATCTGACCAACAAGTCAATCAACTTCCTCCACAGATGGTACATTCACATGCTCTTCCAGATCAGCTGCCGGTCCTGGAATGAGCTGCAAAACAATAGGTTTCAATAGAACCTGCAAAAACAAACAAAGCACTTTCAATATTCAATAAAAACAAAACAAGGAACAAAAGGCGAAAGAATCAAGAAGAGGGACTGCACTAAGTTTCCACTATGATTAAGAGGTCCGGTATGAAATCGTCACTGTTAATAGTAGAAAGTTTTTAGAGACAAATCAGAAAAAACTCTCTCCAACTATACCATAGTTAAACCAAGACGGCCCACAAAAGAAACATTTAAATTTTTAAATTTTACAGCGGAAACATATTCTGTAACAAAGGAAAAAGATCCTCCTTTAGTAAGCATAATTAAGATTTAACTTCCCTGGAGCTCAGTATTTAGAATACTCCCTAAACAATATATATAACCAATACGATTGTAACTCCCAAGGTAACTATAGAATATTAGGTTCTACAATATGAAATCAGCTGGCCAAATTGTTATAAGGATTTAGGAATTTGAGTACAGATTTTCAGAATCAACTGCATGATTAATCTTGGTGGATATCTTGGTAGATAAACCAGGGTTAGGAGTTAATAAACCTTAATTGTGTAAAACGATTAGGAAAATTATGAACCCAAATCTTAATGCAAGGTTACTAGCCGTCCTTGATTAAGATTTGTAGAAGTAGGCAATTTAAAAATTAAGATTGCCAACTGAAGGATCAGGCCGCAATTCACCAAGGTACCACTGGTAAAATATATAGCACATCAAGGGAATATCTAATATTGAGATAACAGAAAGTTTGGCCGCAAATCCAACTTCAAAGTTAGCTGCTCCAAAAACAATTAAAATCTGACACAAAAAGCTTGAGGACTGAGATTTTTAGTTGTCAGTTAGAGCCAGTTGCCATACCCTAATTAATAATGAATTCCATGTAGCAGATTAGGTAGAGATTGACTTGCCTGAAAATTTGGGGAATCAAGAAACTTCAGGCTCCCAGTGTCATAGAGAAAACATTTATGTAATGACGATATGACCAAAGCCCTGAGCTGCCAGTTATTAATTGATAATGAACTGTTCTGCTCTTTCACAGTGCCTGCTTCCAGAGTCCTAGCCTTCTTTTTTTAACGAGTCAAATTAGCAGTGTTTACATCTCCAGTGTCAGTAAGATGCCGAACACAACCCTCAAGTAAGTACTTGAAATAAGGGACAAACAAAGACCTGCATTTAAGTGACATGAATCAATGAGAAAATGCTATGCTCCTACTTAAAAAACTGAAAGAAATAAGTAAATTTCTAAAATATAGAATAACTACTACTTAGCTGGGAAAAATTTACACACACACACATACACGTGCAAATACACACCGTATAATTGTATTGGAAGATAAATGATTTTGGTAGATTTAATCCCAGCACACCTAGGTCATAAAATCCAACCTTCTATCCAATTATAAAATGTGCTCATTTTTTTTGAGAAACATACAGTCATTGACACATCATAATATCTAAATCTATATAATTTAGGCCATAACAATTCAACCAACAAATTCTCAGCTATATCCATGAGGCTAAGCCAGAACAAATATCAAGATCATTGAAATATGGAAAGCTAAAATATGCCATGACAGAAACAAATAAAATTAGTTGACTTACCGGTGATTCTCAGCAAGTTATTTACAAGGCCATAGAAAGTTATTGCCCTTTCTATACTTTTGCTTCCCATAGAGACAATGTCTTCCACTTCTGACTCTGCCCATTCTACACTTCTGATAAAAAGAGGCCTAAACATAGTCTCCGTTAATTTCATTGTAAGAGCAATCATTGTTGTGAAGACATTCTTTTCTACAATATCAATGTTCTGAACCGAAACACAGTGTTGGCGGCGAAGATCAAGAGCAATCAAGCACTGATCAAAAATCTTTCCACGGAAACCACCAATAGATCTATCCATTCTCCCAACAACATTTCCTAGCATTTCCAAAGCAATTACCAAGCCTGCATCACCAGCATCAACAGCACCAACATATATTTTCAGCAAAGGTGGCAGAGCAAGTTGAACCTGTAGAACAAAGGCCAAGCATTTTATATTAATTGCAAAGAATGCATAAAAAACTTTCAGTTGAAAGTCAATAATCAACATTCTTGTGAGGAAACCTACAGGGATTTTCTCAGTGAGGAGCCTTTCGAACTGCATCAGCTTTCACTTTCAGTTTTGGATCTGATCTCAGCAAAAATTCAGGACGAAGCACCAAAATTTCTGTAATATCTCCAAGATATGGATTTAGAAAACCACCAAGCTTGTCTATCACCACACCACCTCCAAGGTGATAAGAATAGATGCCATCAGAGATTCTCTCAGAGCTACGTTATCATCAGCATCATTTTTTAAGTCAATAGTGGTAGAGATTTCATGTGACTTCTTTATCACATTCTCCATTATACAAGGCAGCTCCACCAATGCCTTTGGCCCAAGCACATTGATCAAAGCACCAGTTGTTCGGAGACAGCTAGAAGAGATAGCCAGGTTCTGTGAACTAATGCTGTTTGTAACAGATGCAAAGCACATGTTGAAGACAGAATGATAAGAAGGAAACCCATTGGCCAAACCCTCTAAAGTTGTAACTGCAGCCACTTTTAATGAAACATTTGATTCTACAACGGAGTCATCAACTATTTGAACAATTTCCAAGCACATCCTATTGAAAGATTCAAAAGCATTCTCATCCAGATTAAGCCAATGACTACTTGAATTTGGATTCAGTTCTCTTCTCCCCCTGTGCTTTGGTTTAACTGACACATGACCCTTCACTGTTTCACATAAAAGCCCAAGAGCCTATTCACAAGTACAACTTTCTACATTAAAAATGAACTAATATGAAAAATATAGGTAGAAAGGAATAGTAACAAAATCCCTTAAAGCGTATGCATCCACTAGTAGAGTATACACTTGTGTAACCAAAAGTAATAGCATTCAGTGCATGAGACATGTAAAAGGCAATGATTTGTAAGACACTTCCCCACCGAAAATTGATGTTTCTAACATATCAACCAGTTATAAAACTTGTCTAAAGCTTTTCTTATATATAGAAGTTAGATCACAAAATGCATTGAGCAAACCACATACCTTCTTTCTCACATTGCCATCAGCATTCCTAAGCAAATTAATGATGCTTTGAAAGTATGCAGAGGGGATCATGACCATCGTAATATTCCTCAAGACAGCATGCATACACTCCTTCAATTCTTTTCTAATAGCAACAGGAACACTTAGTTGCTTTCTTCGTCTGTCAACATATTGTAAGAGGAAAACAATCTGCTCCATAAGTTCTTCAAGTTTACTCTGCATAGTCAAATGCCCATAAGATTAAAACTCACAAATGAACGAAATTACAGTTGACTGAGATATTATGCAGCAGCATTCCTACTGATCACACACAGGCCAGAGCAATATGTGTAGGTAACCTTGATGATTGCACTCCCTATAAAAAGGACAGACAACGAACTATAAAAGAAAGCAACATAGAATATCTCTCTGTCGTTCATAAGTCAATTTATGTTATGTGTAATATGGATCCAGAAGGTCAAAGAAGAAATCTGTTTACCACAGAATGTGGTATGCAGTTGTAACAGCATGCTTACAGAGACTCAGTAGATTTCTTTCTCAAAGTCTGAGCACAAGATCCAAAGGATATCTTACCAGTTGATTATTTGTGTCAAATGTTTGACAAGTCATCAAATCCACTTCCCAATATTTTTTTAACATATGTCTGTGTGTGTGTGTTTTTCCATTAATAAAAAAGAAAAAGAAAACCAAAGTATTTACCAATAAAAAAAAAAAAAAAAAAAAAAACCGTATTCCACCATGCGAGATACTTTTGTTACTCCATCAAGGTTTTATTTTTTTCTTTAAGAAAAACTATTGTACGAAAAGAACGTTGATTTACAAGGAGGCGTTTGAAGAGTAGACAAGCAATCAACAAAAACACCCTCAAAAAAATAAAAACCTGATGACGCCACAAAACCAGGTAGCTCCTCACGTACCCAAAATACAGCCACCGGAAAAAAAATACATGACAAACAACTGTTGATCTGGACGATGCAACTTCCCATGAAAATATACAACATCATGTTTATTTAAAATTCGTTAAAAAAAAAATTAAGTTTCATTGAGGTTGGTAGTATAAATCAAAATTCTTTTGACTGGTTGTAAAAGCGGTATTGGTCACCATAAAGTAATACCAAATCCTGGAACTACCTAACTTCAATGACTGCATCATAGTATGTACCATGTTCTGCTTTTGCCCCCTATTACCCAGTAATTCAAATTACGGATAGCAAGACAAGGTTGAAGGTGCCTAGGACATGTTAAGAATATAGGGGTCAAATGGCATTGTGGTTCCCAGGTTGTTTTAAATCTTATACTTACTATATAAAGAAGTCCCCAAGCTTTCTCATGACATTTGATCACCAAATTCCCTCAGTGAAAAAAAAAAAAAATACCTAACCCACAAAATTCCAGAAACTGATCCAATACCTTCTTCTACTAACAAATGCTAGGTTTAATAATTCAGAAGCAGATGAATTCTTACCTGAATGCTATCTGAATCTTCAGTTAATTCACGCTTAAATGCAAATTCTGGATCTTGCATTTTGTGCAAAACGAATTGCATTGCAAGTAGCAATTCCATAAAAATTACTTCCAAATTACCAATCCCTATTTGTTGAAGCATCATAACAAACGAAGGAAGCCATATGACAGATGAATATTGCTCACATATTTGCACAGCAAAAGCATACTCTCTTTGTGCGAAGATGTAAAATTATCTGAACTGTGTGCATCACCGAGGCAAGATGATCCTTTCCTTGAAACTAAGGATCGGAAAAGGAGGACAAGCAATGAAGCCAAACTATTAAATTCTCCCAAAGTCCTGAAGAAAAGCATATCAACTCTAGTAGTAAATACAGAACCAACAGGAATACAAAAATGTAAGTCCAAATAATACCTTAATAGGTAGACAACAATTGACAGCCTTCTGTGCTTAGAAACATCAGGCAACACATTCACAAAAACCTGAAGATAAAATTGAGCAGATTAGAACACAAACAACTATCACAATTGGAGCAAGGGGCTCATAACAAAAAAACTTTTTGATAAAATTACCTGAAGCAATTCGTCCTTGTTGTTAGATTTCAATAGCCAACAGGGGACAATTGCAGATATGAGATCCTCAAAAACACGTTGGGAATGGTTGTGGCCGAAATATGGAATGATTCTTTTCCCTTGATCTCTGCTAGCTGAGATTAGGGAGTAAATTAAGGTTCAATCAATCACCTCAATTCATGTGATTGATGGAACAAATTACAGGGATTTTGTATTTATTGTTTTCCTTTTTTACATTTACACAATTGTATAAATTGGCTATTGTACAGATTTACAAAATATAATACACACAAAATTCTCTACGTTTCTTTTCTCTTTTCTCTTCTCAGGCATATTCTGGCAGCATAGTCTTGCTTCTCTTGCCTTCTCTTTCAAACTCTGATATGGTATCAGAGCCTCTGATCTGAATCCAGCCTCCGCATTCTCTCAAATTGTTTTCTTCTGTCCCTGCAAACAAACAGATACTTGGTTATTGATTTCCTCTTCATTTTACAACTACTCAAAACTCCAAAATGGAGATAAACCCAAATCCAAATATCATAGACAGCCCAAACACAAGCCAATCCTCACAGACAGTCCACACCCAAACATTACAAATGGCCCAAACCCAACAATCACAGAAGCCCAACATTCCAACCCAAACCACCAACCTCAACATGATCCAAGCCCAATAACCCACCCATTTGGAATGCTGGGTTACATCTTAGATCCTACACCTCCAACGGGTCTGGGTTCAAACCCAAATCCCTACTTGTTTCCCTGTCACTTGATTCCAGCCACCGGCAACGGCAACAATCGCCCTATCCCAGGAGACGTGCTCTATGCACACCCTTCTGATGGCCTTGAATTGGTTCTCATCAAGAACACCTTAACAGGTTTCGAAAATTATTCTAGTTGGGCTCGCGATTTTCACCGAGCCTTGATAACAAAAGATAAACTTGACTTCCTTGATCCAAACTCCCAGCCACCGTTTGACTTCCACCTTCAGCGACACTGGCACTGCTGCAATATTCTGGTTCGATCGTGGCTTAGCAATTGTTTGTCATCAGAGGTGGCGGCTGGTCTTCCTCCGATTGAAATCACGGCTGAGATGTGGGGAAATATTCAGGAAATGTATGGGCAGCTTGATCTGGCCAAAATTTTCTGTCTCCGGCAGCAACTTGCCGAGATCAAGCAACAAAACTCTTCAGTAACCTCATTCTTCAATCGGGTCGCCATTGTTTGGAACGAGCTTGATGCGGCGGAAGAAACCCTAGAAGGGCTACTTGCAACTCTCGCACAATGGGCGAGGATTCGCAATCATGACTGATTGAGCCATTTTCTCCTCGGTTTGAATGATGCTTTCCTCGCCTTCTGCAACCAAGTTCTCGCCACATCACCACCTCCCACTCTCTGGTGAACTTTCCAACTTGTCATTCAAGACGAGAGTCAACGATAGGTAAATGATGGAAATCGGCAGACTCATGGGTTGGGTTTTGCAGGTTATCGGTTGCTGGAGAAGGAAGAGTTGAATGGGGATATTGGGCAGCTAGGGCAAATGGAAGAAAAACATGTTCTTTTGTATGCAGGTCAAAGTGGATTTGACGGTCAGAAACATTTTGCGCCATTCACTTCATCCAATGGCTCACAAGATGCCACGTCATGAGGCGGGTCAAATGGGCCAAGCAGTTGGGCTTCTGGGTCAAATCACGGGTCAAACAAACCCAATAGTTGGTCAAATGGGCATACTGGGTCAACCAACCCGGAAATTCAAAATCGGGCAAGGGTAAACTATTTTGTGAATACTGTAAACTGAGGAATCATACTCGGGACAGTTGTTGGCAATTAAATGGGTATCCCAACAAAGACAAAACTAGAAATTCTTCAATCAATCACGTTGATGCTATCCCTGCAGAACCTCCAATTGCAGGACCTCTGATCACCTCCGATCAATATCACCACCTTCTCCAAATGCTGAATAAAATCCTAACAACGCCTACAACATCCTATGCAAGTATTTCTTACCACTTAAATTTTATTACAATTGATATGTGGATTATTGATTCAGGGGTTAGTGATCACATTATTTGCGACCCTAAACTTTTCACCACTATATCCACTACCTCATCCACCTCCGTTCGTATGTCGAATGGAAACATAGCCCCAGCCACTCATATAGGGACCGTAAAATTATATGCACATTTACAACTTACAAATGTCTTACGTGTCCCTGCATTCCATTTTAACCTTATCTCCGTATCAAAATTATGTTCTGATAATAGTTGCACTGTGAAATTTTGTCATAATACCTGTGAAATTTTGTCATAACACCTGTGAATTTCAGGATCCTTCAACTGGGACACTGATGGGTTTGGTTAAAGCTAATAGAGGTCTGTATTATTGGGTTCCCAATGCATCTTCTAAAGTTATTTCTCCTTGTATTACATCCAATAAAATATCCAATTGTAATACAATGCTTAATAAAACTTCTGTTATTCTCCATCAAAGATTAGGTCACAGTGCCACTTAGGGCTGTAAACGAGCCGAGCCGAGCTTTTGGCTTATCGAGCCCGGGTCGTTTGCAATAGTGTCGAGCTCGAGTTCAAGCTTGAGCCTGGCGAGCCTCAAAATTGAGACTCGAACTCAAGCCGACTCACAAGCTCGAGCTCGATAAGGCTCGATCAAACCACCATTTCTAGAAAAATTCCCGCAGTTGGGAACAAGAATTCACTCATGCATTCCTGAAAATCAATAACCACTGAGATTTAGCAATGATTTTAACCATCATCTCAAAGTCGAAGAAGTAAAGTTAAACATGAAAATAAGAATTTAAGAGATGATGAAATCTTGAGTTTTCGAGTGCTTACCATGATAAGATTTTACCATATGAATGTTGGTAACACGTATGATGGATATGCATCATATTTCGATGCAAGAGTTTGGACAGAAGATAAATCTGCAACTTCTCCAAAACCGTTGAGTCCGAGTTCATTTGCATGGATCCCTCTAGTGGTAAATACTGACTGGATTCCAACTGCATTGGCTCCCTTAATATCATGGTGAAGAGAATCACCCACGGCAATAGAATCAGAAGCATCCACACCAACCATGTTCATTGCTGATTTATATATTATCTGATGAAATATTAGAAAAGCATAAAAGGAAAGTCAACTGCACACATAGGATGATATACATCCACAAATATAAAGAACTAGACAATTTTACTAATAAGAACAACAAGAACTAAGAGATCAAGTGACCTTATCAGGCTTGCCCATCCATCTCACTTCACCTCCAAGCTTTTCATATTTGGATGCCAAAGTACCTAGGAGGATTGACAAAGTTCACATCTCAAATGGTAAAACGAGGAAAATCAAAACTTTCAATGTGTGTATATACAGAAACTTCAGATTCTGTGCAATGGGCTAGAAGATGAACAGAATCACCGGCAACAGGTATGAAAATGTCACAACAGAGTCAAAGCTACCATCACAGGGCCTCCTTTTCCGGTTGCCGAGATTGGAGATGGCGACGGAGATTACCGATTTCAGAGTGTCTGGTTCGCGATTTAGGATTTAGGGCAACTGGGATTGGGAACTGAAATTGACTTGGTATTTTGGTGTATCGTGTTATAAGAATTTGCACTTTGGGGGGGAAACTGTCATTTTTAAACTTTTTTCATTGAAAATATCAGTTTAATACCTAATAGTCTAAAAAATCACCAAAGCACCCTGCATAAGTGTACAGTGCTTACGCGAGCCAGACCAGGCTAGCGAGCCCACGAGCCGAGCTTCACTGTGTTTGAACTCGACTCGGTTAACAAACCGAGTTTGAGTCGAGTCGAGTCGACTCAAGCCTTCTCGAGCCGAGCTCTAAATGAGCTTTTACCGAGTCGAGCCGAGCCGGCTCGGTTCGTTTACAGTCCTAGTGCCACTATCCCTCATCCCAAATGTCAAATATGTCCCTTAGCTAAACAAGCAAGAATTGGTTTTCCACATAGCATATCCACCACCACTCAACCTTTTGCCTTGATCCACCTTGACATTTGGGGCCCATATCACACCCTCAATCATGATGGATCCAGATTCTTTCTTACTATTGTTGATGATTTTTCCTGGGGTACATGGACTTTTCTCATGCAATCTAAAAACCCAAACACTTACCCATATTAAACACTTTCTCTCCATGGTCAATACCCAATTCCATACATCAATCCAATAAGTTAGAACCGACAATGCTAGAGATTTTTTCAACCATAGTTGTTCTTCTCTATTTTTATCCCTTGGCATTCTTCATGAAAGTTCTTGCACATATACCCCACAACAAAACAGAGTTATTGAAAGAAAACACCGCCATCTCTTAGAGGTAGCCTGGGCCCTAAAACACCAAGCCACCACTCCTGTCTCATTCTGGGGTGAATGTGTGATTACAGCCACGTACTTGATCAACCGCATGCCGACAAGAGTTCTTCATGGGAGAACTCCTTATGAGTTATTATTCAAGAAGCAGCCAACCATTGATCAACTCTGAGTACTTGGCTATCTATGTTATACTGCTACTCTTGGCTGTCATGATAAGTTCGGCTCCTGGGCCACCTTTTGTATCTTTATGGGCTATCCCATGCTCTAGAAAGGTTACAGACTTTATGATCCAGCTAAAAACTGTTTTATAATATCTAGAGATGTTGTGTTTCATGAATACATATTCCCTTTTGCCAACACTGACCAGGTTTCATCTTCATCTCCGCGGCTGTTTTCTCATGATGATGCTGTCACTTCCCTAGATCCTCTTTTTTTCTATGATACCTATTCTTGAGGCTCCTCAGTAACCTATTGTTACTGATTCTAATACTAATTCAGCAGCCACTAACAATATTCCAATAGAGTCTTCTCCTCCCGATTCTCCTCTAGAGTCTCCTAATTCAGTTCCACCTTTACCCATCCGCCGCACTACTCGTTAGACACGACCACCAATCTGGACAGCTGATTATGAGTGTCCTACTATATCACATTCTTCAGGTACTCGGTATCCTACCTCTAATTATGTGACATATGATCGTCTTTCTCCTGTTCACCGAGTTTGTATCAGTCACATCTTTACCGACCGAGAACCCATTTGTTACTTAGATGCGGTCAAACATTCCCACTGGCGTCAAACAATGGCTAATGAACTAGCTGCCTTGAATCAGAATCACACATGGGATTTAGTTCCTCATCCTACTCATAGAAAACCCATTGGCTGCAAATGGGTATACAAAATCAAACACTGTGCCGATGGGTCAGTTGAGCGTTACAAAGCCCGTTTAGTGGCTAAGGGGTTTGATTATCAAGAAACATTTTTCCCAGTCGCCAAACGTGTCACTGTCCGTGCCTTCCTTATAGTTGCTTCTGTTCGCGACTGGTCTCTACATCAAATGGATGTTCATAATGCTTTTCTTCACGGGGACCTCCATGAAGAAATCTATATG